CTGTCCCGCTTGGCACTTCATAGTTATTGCAATGATGTTCTCCTCTCTTTCCCATTGTCTTTCTTTTTTCCCTTTTCTCTCTGAAGCCCATTTCTTAATATACTTTTTCTTAAGTCCATTTCTCACAGAACTCTACTTCAGAGCAGGTGCATAATCTCATTTGTAGACACGCATACAAAGGCAGGAATAAACAAACACGCTGGATTCCCTACACCACAATTTACCACTTTTACATTTCAAATGTAGCATGTAAGGGAATTGAACTTTCCTTCTCTTTACACCAAGTGCCATGTCAGATACTTTTTCCCCCCCCTACTGCTGCTAGTATTCTTCTCCCTCCTTCTCCTTCTTCTTAGATACAGAGACATCAAATGAAATGATGTGGATAACAGGATATGGAGTTTGTTGTCTTTCAGCCTTCTTGCTCTCCTTTTTTCCCCCTCCCTCCCTCCCTCCCTCCCTCCCTCCATCTATCTTTCTTGACCTTGCTGAATTTAGCAGCGATGGCACATGAGGCTTGATCAGGGGTTCTGGGAATTTTTTTTTTAACTAATAGGTTCTGTGGCATGAAAAGGTTTGAAAAACCCTGCTCTAGATGTTAGCCAGCTGTTTTTCTCTAGATGGAACAGTCTTACAACACCAGTAGTGTGATATTACCAGACATTGGGATGGGGGAAAATTTTAGCCTGTTTTTTAATAAATATTTTGGAAATTGGGCTGTATCTATCTATATACAGAAAATAGCTTAATTATATCTCCTGGGGACTTAACATATCTGTTTGCAGTTTAAACTGTACGTGTATGTGTGTTTTAAATCACAGCTTTTCAACAATGTGATCTTGACAGACCCACGAAGATGTAAACATGAGCCAGGGGACTGGTGCATGTAGTACAACAATTGTCCATCTCTTCTTGAGATGTTTCCAAAAATTGTTTAAGTTAATTTATATTTCTAATGCTAACAATGTTCCTACAGATGGATGGAAAAGGGGGAAAATACAGCAGGTATTTGGAAAAGAAATAGTCAAAGAGGGGGTGATTATTAGTTTATTCCATCACTGTGGGAGACACTTCTATATGTTATATATACAAAAGGAAACTAAATAATACTAGAAGTCCATGGGAGTGGGAAGCTTGATTATGAAAGATCCTCCTCCTATTGAGAGTTGTAAGTACATATCCAAACATAACTACCATATGGAGAAGGTGAAAGACTATAGCATCTGCCACTCTCTTGCATTTTAAAAACTCCTCTAGAAGGCCTTTATTCCACTGAAGTTAAGGAAATACAGTCTAATGCATTTATTTCATTGGTTGACAAACGATCAAAACGTATACAGCAGAAAAGTATATATATATTCAAACTATTCATATATATATATATGAATAAAATTCCCCTCTCACCCCTATGGGTGGTATGTGTCTTCCTCAATCTCGGGTCCTCTA